CGAAATGCAATACTGATTATTTCATCTCTTCTTCCTGCTTTAATAAACCCTGTTGTTTATTGCACCAGGACTAAAGAGATCAGGAAACGATTAGCAGATGTGTTTTTGCATAAAAAAATAGTACCAGGTCATTTTAAAGTTATATCATGATTTATTTTTTTCAGTTTCATGGTTAACTATGAAATATCAGTTGTTTTGATGTGTTTGTAATGCTTTTGCTTATGTCTGTTTTCAAAATGAATAAAAACTAGGGGAAGAGAATGCCAGTATTGAAAGAAATAAATGCCTCAAAGCCTAAAATATCACTAAACCTACACCTACAAGTCTCTTTAAACATGTTTAAACAGCTGTGATGTGCAATGTGGCCTACATTTGGTTAAATCAGATAACAAATATAATTTTCAAATACTGAATATCTTTTTAGTGCTGTCTTAATTCTGTCTTCATTTTGTTTGTGTCTTTTTATCTTAATAATTAATGGAGAAGGTTAAAGGTTACAGTCAAGTTTAGTTTGTGCCACATCATAAACATGAATAATTAAGGTTTGCTTTAATTGTCAGATTAAATAAACTGTCAAATTTTAGTGTGTTATTATCTCCAATTGCTTTACTGTGTTAATAAAACAGGCTGCACACAAAGTGTTTCCACTTTTGGTAAAGTACACAAGGGTCCTCACAATTACTCATTAATAGCTGAGCTGGTTTGTTTGTTTGATTCATATTAAAAAACTCACTGCAGCAATAAGACGTTTTCACATTAAGACAATTTACAGTTGAAGCACTGAAAACATTACAGACAGCACAATTTTTCAAGTTTTTACATCTAAGGAATAACTGATTGAATAATCATCAAGTCAGACACATTGACATAATTATTGGACTTTAGAGGTGTAATGGAACATGTATTCGTCACAAACTATATAGAGCTGACGGTTCGGTTCATGCTCCCACTTGTTGAATACAGTCAGTCAAGATGTACAGTCACTATTATGATACATTTCTACTACAGCATCAAATCTAGAGATGCACCGATAACATTTTTTTTAAAATCCGATATTGACTGATACAGATCCGATCCCGATGCTGTGGTTTTTTTTTTTTTTTTTTTTAGCCTAATACAGTTTCTATAGTTCTGGTGCATAAATAATATATCTTATTTAGTAAAATAACACACATATAGGCCTACATCTTATGGCAGACGACACAATCTAACTAAAAACACAATGCTTGCTATAAACTGTAGGCTACATTATTTGAGCATTCATTCTGGCATTGATATGATCTGTTGTAGTCCAGCTTTCCTTTTTTTAATATTACAATTTTTCTTTGAAACCTGTAATAGACTACCACTATTGACCCTAATCGTTGCTAAAATAACCTGCCTTTTAGCAAAGCCTGATATTTTCCTGCAGGTTTAAAGCAGACTAAACTAAACTCTGCTAAAACCCAAACTCTCCGCAAGTGAGATGGAGAAACTGAAAGCATGTCTGAACATCTATTTTTTTGTCTGAAAATTATCTTTTTGGGTTGAAGCAGTGGTGCAGTAGATAGTGCTGTTGCCTCAAAGCAAGAAGGTCGCTGGTTCGCTCCTCGGCTCAGTTGGCGTTTCTGTGTGGAGTTTGCATGTTCTCCCTGCGTTCGCGTGGGTTTCCTCCGGGTGCTCCGGTTTCCCCCACAGTCCAAAGACATGCGCTATAGGTGAATTGGGTAGACTAAATTGTCTGTAGTGTACAGTATGTGTGTGAATGAGTGTGCATAGATGTTTCCCAGTGATGGGTTGCAGCTGGAAGGGCATCAGCTGCGTAAAACATATGGTGGATAAGTTGGCGGTTCATTTCGCTGTGGCGACCCCAGATTAATAAAGGGAATAAGCCGAAAAGAAAATTAATGAATGAAATTATCTTTGTGAAACAAATTTCGTTTGGTATAATTTGTTGGTTGTTTTAATGTATTTTTGTCGGTCAGTTATCCACAAAGTAAACCAGAAGGTGAAGTTCAAAACAAGGTCCGCTTATGCTTCAGTGCACAAACTGACAAACTAGTCTGTTAAATAAAATATTAATATAAATAAAATGACAGTGAAATATTCACAGTTTCAGAGTAGCCTATATTAGGCTTAATAATTTTCTGTTATTGACCTACCATATTGCGCCCGTCAGTTTCACTTGTATTAATTAGATCAACTACTTTGACCACAATGAGCCTGGCTTTACAGACTTTTCGCAGCACTTAACATATTCACCTCGAAAGAATAAACTCAATCTAAAGGACGAGAACAGAAACTCTTTATGAGAATAATTTTACAGAGCGGCACACGTCACTTCTGCGCAGCTGGTGCGCTTAATGAAACAAATGATGCATCACTGAGACACAGCGCGCAACCCTCCGGTGTCTGCAGACACTTTTAAAACAGCAACACAAAGGGAAGAAATCAGTGCGTTAAGGATCTGTCCAATGTATTATTGAGCCTTTTCTAATTTAAAGTTTCAGGTAGGCCTACTTTGTGTGCGAAGAGCAGGTAATAACCCTCTCTACTCCAGTGTTGCGAATGTTATCTGCTGATCTAACAGACACAGCAATATAAGAATTGGTTCAGTGTGTATGCATTAAATGCTTGTGACTGTTATTACAATTTACTAATGTACATGTTTTTAGACTGTTGGAGGTACACGGGGAAAACACGGGGAGAAAATGCAAACTCCGTGCAGACTGGCTCAAATAGAACTTGAACCATTGGCACACCCGCTGCGAGGCATCAGCGCCAGCCACTGAGCCACCATGTCGCTGATCCTAGAAATGAGGAGGGCAAAGGGAAGGAAACACTTTGGAAACATATGTCAACATCTTGCTTTGGTTACTTGTCACAGGAATTTTTTCCCAGCAGTGTTTTTTGCTTGACATTTGCATAACGTCGAGAAATGCCCAACCTTTCTGAAACTCTCGGCTGCTCTCAACGCTTTATCTTTTCTTGTTTTTATTCCTGTTGTACTGTACCCTTACCGAAGCTTGACTCCAAAACCGAGGGTCATACCGAACTGTGACTTCGGTGTAGCTAACTTCAGTGTCAGAAACCATATTTAATTTGTGCATTGTAACTTTCGTTCACCCGTTCAGATGAGGTCACTTCTGAAATTTCAATGGCAAGTTGTCTTAATGGTTTGAGGTTTATTGTTTAAATAACAAAGACTTATGAATTGTTTAAACACTGATAGGGTCACAAAGTTTGGGTTTCTTGTCCCATGTTCACTTACTCACAGTCAAAACCTTTGTAATAATGATGCCGTGAATAACATGTGGCACGCTTCACTTTAACTTGAAAGCATGATTCTCTATTGCTGCACCTCCATTGTTACTTCTGTGATCAATCTGTTTGTTTCACTTGTATGGGGTCATTAGCGTAATGGTTAATTCCCAAATGTGGTCATTATTGCCACAGGGATGTTGCATGGTTATGCCTTTGGAGTTGTTTGTATGTATGTGCTACTCACCTGGTAACACAATTTCTAACTGTAACTAGTTCAGTGGTTGTGGCACTTTCCACAAGTACCCTTTCTCATTGGTCTCCATCTTAATGTGTAGAGATCCACTGAGAGGGAATGTCTCAGTTACATGTAACCCTATTAGCCTGAAGAAATGGGAATACCTCTTAATGACCACAATCCTGAACCACCGGCTAAATGCTGAGTTCCTTGGCCAGAACCTAATTAGTGACTTAAATACCATTTAAATACCTGTATGTATTGGAGTGGCCTCATAGACCTTTAGCCAATCAGATTCTGAACCTAAAATCTAAAAGAACGTCTTGATTAGGGATGTAACCCATGTCCCCTGAAAGATGGTGCATTGAAGGCAGATGAGAGGAGGATTCCACCTAGGAAACCAGTCACTTCAAGTCTGGGTCACGGTCACATTTGATGCAAGTCATGTGCCTTTATGAGATGGTCAAATGTTTATATATATATATATATGTATATATGTGTGTGTGTGTGTGTGTGTGTGTGTGTGTGTGTATATATATATATATATATATATATATATATATATATATATATATATATATATATATATATATATATATATATATATATATATATATGTCTATGGTAATGGATTCCACAAATAATAGTATTAAACAATAAATTCTATTAGTTAACACAACACAAATGGTAACCTGAAATATTTCATATGCAAATGAAATCTCAAGTTATCATTTTTCTTTAGGAATTTACATTTTAAAAAGTTTTACAATCCAAGCACTTGTAATGGTGTGGTCTTGTATAACCTTGATTTTGCTTTCATGTTTTACTCTGATTAGCAGTATCACTACAATAATAAGAAATAGATGGCATACTGTATCTGGAGTAGTCAAATGTAGAAACTATGAATCTGTCCATGGCAGATATGATATCAGTGTATGAAAAAAAACTAGCAAATACATTTATATTGAATATATTAAAACAGAATTATAGCTTTGTGCATTATATTGTACTATGGTTTAAGTATTATATCAGCCTTGAACTGTTATGAACTGTGGTGTTCTGAACAAACCCCCAAGTTTAATTAAGGCTGCTAAGTAACCATAACGTGTCTGTCATGCAATGAAAATATAAAAGAGGGGACATCAGTGTTGCATTTGTTGAAATAAAAGAGGAGCAGCTAAAAATCTTGCATGCAATTTTAAAATTCACTGAACATTTTTAAAGTCTAAACATTTTTTCAGGATCTAAGGAGGAATGCCATAAGAAAAAAAGAAAATCTTGTATATCTTATTTGTATTTTTTTTTAATGATTAAATCTCTTTTTGTGTTTCTTTTGAAACTGTACTTCAACCTCAGAAGTTTTCATCACCTGGCTGTTACAGATGCTATATACATGTTTTTGCCATTTTCTTTCACAGGAGCTTTTTTTCTGTGCATATATGAGTACATCAGGGATTTTGTTTAGGTTATTTTGACTTGTAGTGGATGAGTTTGTGTCTATTTGTTTAAAATTTGACAAAATATGGGAAATTATACTGTTAATAATGTTGACAGCTTTATAATCACTGGATTTGATCACCTGCAGAACCAAAAGCTGCTTGGATCTCTCATCTTGATAACCTACATACTCGTACTGCTTGGGAATGGCATCAATCTGTGTGTCATCTCGACTAACAGACATTTACACAAACCAATGTACATATTAATCTGTAATCTAGCTGTTGTTGATGTAATGTATTCATCGACCTGCAGCACAACCATGATCTCAGTGCTGCTGGCTGATGTTAAAACTGTTTCATACTACTCTTGTATCTCCAGGATGTTCTTCTATCATATTGGTGATTTCACAGAGTGTATGGCTCTGACATTAATGGCAATAGACAGACTTATCGCCATCAGGCTTCCATTAAGATACCACAGCATTGTCACTAATTCAAGGACATTTCTTTTCATTGTACTGACTTGGGTGATTGCAATCGCTTTAATGGGTGTCTTGACATCAGCAGTAGACAATGCCCCATACTGTCAGCCTGTCATCAAGTATGTGTTCTGTGATTATCCTTCCATGATCAGAGCTGCTTGTGTTAATCCTGAGCCATACTTTTTCCTGCCTGCAATGATTAATCTGTGGTGGTTCTGTGGACTGTTTCCTTTTGTTATGTGCACGTATGCTGTTCTGGCATATAGTGTGACTAAACTCTCCAATAATTCAAGCAGAAAGCAAATGATCAACACTTGCTTGAGTCACCTTGTTGTCCTGCTCAGTTACTATGCACCGAAAATAGTTTCTGCATTACTCACTCGAATAGGAGTTGTGTTGACTTTGACAGAGAGAAATGCAATACTGATTATTTCATCGCTTATTCCTCCATTAATCAACCCCACTGTTTATTGCACCAGGACTAAAGAGATCAGGAAACGGTTAGCAGATGTATTTTTACACAGAAAAGTTGCACCAAATAATTTAAAGGTTTTAGCATAATTATTATTGTCATTCTGGATGGATGGTTGATGATTTGCTGTTTCTTTTTTTTTCTTTTTTTTGTGATGCTCATGTTAAAAATAAAACAAATGCAGAGATGTTTATATGTTGTTGTGTAATGGACAACAAAAGGTCAATCTAGAGATCATACTTTATTATTAGTTATTGATCATTCTAAGTAGTTGATTTTATAATTACAACAGCATATTTACATTGCTTTTTACTTTACTGTACATAACATCAGCTTGGTACTATCAAAATTAACACAACTCAAGTCAAAGTTGCTGCTAAAAAATATATATATATATATATATATATATATATATATGTTTCTTTAAATGAAAAATTCATGTTAAGCTGTGTTTAATGTCAAGTTTCTATTTCTGAATTTTTTTATATATATTAGTGACACTGCAGCTGAAACAATAGCATGAACTAATAAAATAACTAATAACCTCTGGTAATAATTATGTGCTTTATTCAGGTTTATGAAGTAAGTTTGAAAACCATTTTGTTTGACATTTGTTTGACAATTATAAATGCGATGGCATACTGAAAATGCCAGCACATCTTTAAAATTTAAAAAAACTAGCACATGAACTGTAGAACTTTTTTTTCCATAATATTTTTATTTTTCGTTTTCAGTTTGTACACATTGAAATACTGCATTTTACAACAATAATAACCTTGTTGCGTTTACAAATTATACAAAATATGAAGATATATATATATATATATATATATATATATATATATATATATATATATATATATATATATATATATATATATAAACTAAAAACAAACAACAACAAAAAATAAATAATAAATGTAAATAAAATTAAAACTGCTCCTCTTTTTGTCAATAATGGTAATCTATTCAAACATGACAGTTATAATCATACTGAGTACTAGGTACCGCAAATATATATTAAAGAATGTATCCTCTTTGATGTACAATCATTGTCATGATTCAATCAACTGAAGTTATTTTTTTCACTGCAGATAATATCTCGCATCATCTGAAAATACAAATGATTTTTGTTACAGTGTGTTGCAACCATTTGTTTAGGTACGAACAATTATGTTTACAAGCTAAAAGTAGCAAAAAAAAAACATTATGTGATGCCTTTGCTGTATTAAAAAGTTATTTCATTTGGGTATCTCTTACATTTTTGTTACATTTTATAAGTAACCCTCAGTAAAAATTAAAGGGGGAATCTGTGGTACTTCAATGAAGAAAAGGCAACTGAACAGTCACATAAAAACATGATTGGTAAAAAAAAAAAATATATATATATATATATATATATATATATATATATATATATATATATATATATATATATATATATATATATATATATATATACATACATTTTGAAGGATAAAATGTATAGTAAAAATGAATTTACCTGTTAAAAAAGTGTTTACAGTCTGTGTAGATCAGGGGTCACCAACCTCAGTCCTGGATGGCTGGTGTCCCTGCAGGCCCAACTTGCCTCAACACCTAACAGGAAGTTTCTAGTATACAGAGTACACCTTGATAAGCTTGTTCAGGTGTGTATGCTTAGGGTTGGAGCCAAACTCTTCAGGACATCACCTTCCAGGAGCAAGTTTGGTGACCACTGGTGTAAAGGATCTCTTGAAGTTGATCTCTTGAGCTCCAGAAACACGTAATGAGTAGCAGGTGCTTTGTCAGTTATATATTTGACAAGCAAAAAGGTGAGAGAAAAGAACCTTAAATCCACCCACAATGAGCCTCGAACATTATCAGGAAGGCTATTCCAGAGTTTAGGAGCCATAAATGAGAAGGCTTGACCTCTTTTAGTAGACTCTGCTATTTGCGGAAGCTATTAATTTTGAGATGTTAGAGCGGGTTGGATTGTAGCGAGACAAAAGGTTGGTTAGATAAACAGGAGCTGGATCATTTAAAGCTTTGTAGGTAAGAAGCAATATTTTGTAATTAATATGGAACTTAACAGGCAATAAAATTGGTGTGATATGATCATATTTTCTAGACCTGGTAAGAACTCTGGCAGCTGCATTTTGCACCAACTGAAGTTTTTTAAAAGAGGATGATGGGCAAACCAGTGAACAGAGCATCACAGTAATCCAGCCTAGTTGTCATAAAAGCATGAACTAGCTTTTCTGCATCTGAGATAGCATACTTCATTACTTAGCAATATTTCTCAGATAAAAGAATGTGTTTTTTTGACAATTTGCAAAGAACCTTTGAATAGCCATCCTTTTTTAGAGTGTACAAAGACCCCTTTGTCACTGATAACTTCTGGAGCAAACCGTGGACAAGGAAAAACATTTCTAGTGTGCAGGTGTTTGCAAACTATTAAATGTAGTTTTACACTGTGTCCTAACAACACACAAAACAACAAGATTCCAGCGACAAGCAGTTTGTATGTCTGCACCAGACAGTTCTAACATTCATTTTCAAACTTTTTGCTAGTTATTTTATTTTCAAGATCTGAGGTGAACTATTTGCTTCCGCTTTCAGTATAGCAATAAATCCCACATGAAAAGTAACATTTACACTGAATAAAGCACATAATCAGCACCTGAGGTGATCAATACATAGTAGTTTATGCTGTTGTTTTAGCCGCAATTTAACATAAAAACACTGCACATTTTTCACGTCAATGTTGTGGACGGACAAAAAATCCTTTTAACATGAACAGGATGTCTTTTATTGCAGTTAGTTAGTTATAGTTAGGACAATATGCTGCACATTAGACTAAAAAGCCAGTCAGCTGTGTTTAAGGCCTCTATGCAACATTCAAAGAAATAGCCAAGAGTGGATCTTGAGGTGTTAGTCAAAGGAGATAAAACAAAGCTTATTTAGAGATAAGGAAAGCTGTGATCCAATATTTAAGTATATTATTAAGATTAATATATTATTATATATTAATCTTAATAGATTTAATTCAGTACTTTGTTACAAAAATAGTGATTATCAGTCTTAAGACACAACAATGGAAAATAAAAGAATGATCAATGAAATAAAAAAATATTAGGTATGCAATAGAACAGTGAAGACATTTAGAGGATTAATAAACAAAAAATTAATAGTTTGCTTCTGTCAATTCCCAATAGAGACATTAATATCGTGATCTGTTATTAATTCAGATCATCAGTGTATTAAACTCTTGACACCGTTGTGCATTTGAGCCTGCAATGCCTCCAATGGATTTTCAGGTTTTTTTTTTCTGATTAAAGTTTTTTATGGGTTTAAAGTTTGTTATTTTCTGATTTTTAGAGACCTTTACAGAAAAACCTTGATATTGTTCATCTATATTTTAGTGCATCAAAGGTACTAGCTGCAAAATTATTAGAATCATTTTCATGTGTCACCGCCCACCAGCTGGCAAATAAAACATAGAAAGTTTACATACAGTATTTGAGTGACTTTCTAAATATCTTATTAGTGTTAGGAAAAATAGCCTATTAGCCTACTAATTTAACCCATCTAGATATTTCTTTCAGCCTAAACAAACATTGATGTTTTGATAGAGATGGCCCTTACCAAGAACCACTTGAGATTTGATATCATGAGGTTTGATGTCATTAAACGCAGAAAACACTGTCACTGTTGTTCATCTGAAGAGTGTCAACATATTTGCTACATGCTCTTAATTTGCTCTCTGGAGATACTAGACAGACACTGAAGAACACAGACAGATGGGAAAGCAGACCAGAGAGAATGATTATAGCAGGGTGATGTAAAAAGTGACACCAATTAATGTGGATAATGCCAGTCTTTGAGATCTCTGTGACTTTTAACCTTCATGCATATGACAGATCATTAAAGATCAGAGCATAGTTATTAATTTAACACGCAGTCTGTAGAGGTAGAGATAGGGTTAAAAAAAATTATGTATCAGGGTTTTTATGGTTTAAATTATAATTTTTAATTCATTCACTCAGTCATTTTTCTTTGGCTTAGTCCCTTTATTAGTCAGGGGTCCCCACAGCGAAATGAACCGCCAACAATTCCAGCATATGTTTTACACAGCAGATGCCCTTTCATCTTCAACCCACATCCATACACACTCATTCACGCACAAACACTACGGCCAATTTAGTTTATTCAATTCACCTATAGTGCATGTCTTTGGACTGTGGAGAAAACCCACGCCAACATGGGGAGAACATGGAAACTCCACACAGAAATGACAACATACCTAGCCGGGACACGAACCAGCGACTTTCTTGCTGTGAGGCGACAGTACTAACCATTCAGCCATTGTGTTGCCCCCTATATTTTTCAATATTTGTTAATATTTTAGAAAACCCATTGGACATTTCACACTGTCACAAAGTTTTTTATTAACATGGCAACGCAAATCTTTTTAATCTAATGCAAACATGCTTTCTTTTTCTTACTAGACTTTTCAAATAAAACGGATGAGCACGATCAACCTGTAAATGTGGCTGAAGACACAGATGAAGTAACTTTTATGAAGCCTTTACATTTTTAATAATAATAATAATAATACATTTTATTTATAATGCGCTATTATCAGTCCCAAAGCCCTAACAGGCATACAAGGCAAACAAATTTATTTAAAAAAAAATAAAAATAAAAAAAAATAAAACAGTAAAATAAAATTAAAAAAAGACCACAATAAAATATGAACATTTTTAAATGGACATTACCTAAATACATATTGTATTTTGTCATTTATCGATATTCAAATATTATGCTGTGATCAGTTGCCCATAGAGAAAACTTTAATTTTGACACAGGGAGACATGATATGCAGTTGGCTAGACCAGATATTACAGGTCTTTTCCTTATATTTTCTTTAATAAAATTTATCAATAATAACAAAGTAATAAAAGTCAATTTGATACAAGTCAAGAACATGAATGTGAATACTAAATATTTTAAAATGAAATCTGCACAGCTACTCAGAAAAAAATTATTCAAGGATGATTTCTTGGATTTACTAAATTGTTTTAAGAGGTTGTAAACAATTTATTTG